CTCTTGTGATGAATGACAAGTATATGCCAGTTAAACCAGCAGAGAATGAAGATGTCATCTCACAACTTTTTTCTTTCACAACTGAAGTGAACTCTGTTGGAGAACTAGCGAATGAAAAGGCGAACATTTCCGACTCAAACCCAGAAAAGCAAGATAAAATTCAGAGCTTGAAAGTTAACAGGACTGCTGATTGGTTTAGAGACACAGCATCGAAGTTGAAAATTGTCATGGAAAGGATGAAGATCATTTCCGTGCATCCTAACTGGAAAGTGCGACTTTCACTCATCAAGTTTTGTGACAAGCTGTTTACAAACTGTTTGGGGTCGTTACAAACCTGCGTTTCTACAATGGTGGATTTACTAGTGGGTTTGATTGAAGACGATTATTTACAAGTTGCATCAGTTAGTAAAACTACCTTACAAAAATTATCCAAGAGGATTGGAAATGGTAAGAAAAATGTAAGTTAATTAGTTTTACGATCAACTTGTATTACATGTAACCCTCTAAGGTTAAGAGAAGGTGCTATTAAAATTGGCCATATTCACACTAGAGAGGGATTATCCATATAAGACGGATGATCCATCTTCAATCAATTATCCATCAAAATTTAGGGAAAAAACAGATGGATAAAGTCGGGCAGATTCCTCCATCCAAAATTAAGATGTACGTATTATCTGTCTGACATGAATTATCCAACAGATTACCTGTCTCAGATGGATAATCTGTCTCTAGTGTGAAAACAGCCATTGTGGTGGAGGCATGTAATGCATTAAAGCAAGGAGGATAACCCTTTACCAGCCTGTAGGCAGATTTACCAACATAATTATTTTCAGCCATACCTATGGACAGATAAGCAGAGAGGTAAAAGGCTTTGAAAGGCAGACAGTGTGTAGGGAAAGTGCTATGAATGAAATGGCATCCATTGATTTTATTGGGATCCTTGAAACATAGTGGAGACATGGTGGGGGAGTACCTCAAACTTAAGATCTGTAGGTCCTGCAGGTTAAGCTTTGCTATTGTTTTTCATTCTTGGAAAAGAAGCTTTGCTCCATTATGTATCCCTTCTTGTAAGTGACACACATGCTGTACTGCTGGGGGGAAAACTTGTGATAGACTAGCATTCCATTTAGTGGGGGAGTTGCAATACTCTCAGATGCCTCATTTTACAGAATTCAGGAACACCTCCATCCATGGTGGTCATATAGCCCATGTGCATCTTCATCTTGTACCTTTAGCACCATTGAACCACACTGCAGTAACTTGATAGACCAACCATATACCCCCCCCCCCGCCCCCCCTGCATTTAACTGCATTTTTCACACATACAGTCTGTTGGTTGGAAATTTGAATTTGAAGGAAACAGTTGGAGAGGAGGAGAGCGCATACATGTATAGCAGTCGAGACCTATAAACTTTTTTCCTCAAGGAAGGGAGGGTCTACAGTGCAGGTACTTAATCTGTATTTGTGACCATTTCACATTTATTTGTTAAGGTCCCAGCACATTGAATGCACTGCTAGAAGAGAACCTTCATTCAACTCTGACAGCACTTCCAAGACTGATGAGAACAGCTGATGATGCCAAAAAAATCCAAAGTCTAAATCTTGTCCTTGGCTACATGAACCTTCTTGGAAACAGGTTGAACAGTTTGCTGAATTCATCTTCACATCTCAAGAGGCTTTCTCTTGCACTGGTGCAGGTAACAGAGCTTAGTGTCTAAAATTAAATTTTGTTTTTTTGATCGGGTGAGTCCTTGATACAAAACATTAATCCGTGAATTAAAATAATGTTATTTTTCAATTTTTCATGGCACATGAATATATTACTTACTAGATTTTTATGTGAATTTGAAGAAATTTTAGGAATTATTTGTGATGCATGAAAATTCTCAATATTTTTTGGTGAAAGCGTTTGGCAAAGGGGTATAGGGAACCCCAATAAACCCTTTACGCCCCAAGATCAACATGTACAAATTCTCTAGACTGATCTGCATACATTTTTTAAGAATAGTTAAGAGAATTTGGCCTAAGATCAAAGCATTCTCCCTTTAGTAATTAATTTAGTAACCTTTACTCTTGATGATCTACTGATGTTGTTAGGAGAAAATTGATGTTTGTCACTCTTGGGACATTAAGGCTTGAATGCTGCTTGTTGTTTATGTACATCTACAGATGTATCTCATGTTTGATTGGCTTTTTTCATTTTCAGCACAATAACATTTTAGAATATTTGGGGTTAATTTTGTGAACCTTGATATTACCAATTGACAGTTACATTGTACAGTACATTGTTATAAGGAGCTCCCAACATAAACTTTTGGCCAGTTATGTAACCTAACTTCAAGTTGACCTCCCATAATTAGTGTAAGTTCTTGAAAGCAAGCAAAATGAGTTTTAAAATGAGGTTCAGCAGCATTGTCGCTAATACTCGACTTGTTTCACCTGGATAAATTTGAATCATATTAAATAAATTCATGCGGGAAAAAATGATTGACATATGCTG